TGTTGTGCTGCATCTGTGTGCAGTTGTTTGTGTCCAACCCACAGTCCAGAGAAGCAATTACTAGTTGTCATTCAGTGCTTGTTGATCAAAAACCAATACTGTATCTAAACCCAACTAAGTTTAGCAATTAGTGTGTGCTTTTTTTGTCATGAAAGAATGTGAATGTGTTTAAAGAGCTCAAGCTGTATTTGGGTTGAAACTTAAAGGTAACTATGTTATACTTTATTTCAATGAATGTGTTTAAAGGGAGGAGCTTGCATTTAAAATAAGCTATCTCTTGTTCTCATAATATGCAGGTGTGGCTGAGTGTTTTCATTCTTGCATTCTTGTCTTTTCAGGACAAACAGGTCAGCAGCTGCTAGCTGTGTACTTACAAGAAGAAGGAATTAGCTTTTCATTACCTCATACTTTAAGAAATGGGTGATTTAGCTGAGTTTTTTCAGTTGAAATACTGTCTGCATACACAAGAAGCTACTGTTCTCAAAATCTGGCTTAGGGTTTCAACAAATGGTATTTGTTCTGGATACTTAGTGGGTGCATGTAAATAGTAGTCCTGCTCTAGTTGTTTGCTGAGAGGAGTGAGTAGTTTATAGGGAAACTGGGTGTAGTATCTTCTCTTGGCTGTATTTGCTTCCATTCAAATCTGTCTGCTTCTGTGTCTTGCTGTACAGTATTGCTTCTCTTGTGTCTCCTAGCCAGTTTGACCTGGGTTAGGAAGTGATTATGCCAGTCAGAACTTTGTGTTAGCCCACAGGCTCTAATTGAATAATTCAGGTTGGAAGAAGCCAGAATTTGAGTAGGGAGTGATTAGTGAACAGCCATAGTAGTACAGCTCAATAAATGGCAGACTTCAGGGGCACGTTCAGTTGATGATCTGCTTGCATCATCTCCAGACAGAGTGGTAGATATAACTGTTAGTTCAGTAGTAGCTTCAAAGGTCAGATTAACAAGTTGAAAAAAGAAAAATGTAGCTATGACTTTCTGGGCCTGCAACATGGTGCGACAAGTTGTAGTGCCATATGCTTTGGCAGATGAGAGCTTTTCTGGGGATTTCCAGCAACATTGGGACCAACCCCATGAATGAATTGGATGAATCTACCAGCCTGTCTGTAGTACTATAGCAGGAGGCAGTGTTGCCTGGCTGTTGTGCATGCAGGTGAAACATGCCTCTGAAACAAGCAGTCTGAGTGTGAATGTATTGAGGTGGATGTGCTGAGTTGGTAAGTCCATTATTGGGATGGAACTGGACTTGTCAAAGTGTTAAGACATGCTATAAAAGCCAAGCAAACCCCCAAATTAGCAAAAGTCTGTTGCTTTGGTTGCCTCTGTAGAAATACTGACATGTATTGTCATGGAGGCTGCCATGAATTTTGGCCAGTCCAAATTACTGTCCAGTTGGCTAGGAATCCTTCAGTGTAGGAGTGGTTGTTCTGTGAATGCCACCTCTTCTAAAGTTAGTCCTCATCTGTTTTATACTTGGTTTGCTGGGACTGGACTGTTGCAAGAACCTAGAGCAGTCTGTGGTCCTTAGGCTGGGCTTTAGCACAAACAGCTTAAATTCTCAGTTGTAAGTAGTGCACTGTGACTGCTGAGGCAGGCGAGGAAGTGAGAGAACTAAGGAACAAGGCTTTGTGTTCTGAATTTCATTAACTTCTGGCCTGACATGACTTGATAGTGCTATCAGCATGCTTATTTTATGAATTACTTAGAGAACTTGCTACAATGCTTTTGCAGCTTTTGCAGAAAACTGGACTGTGAAGTGGGGCTTCTTGCCTTGCTCTGAAAGTAATTCTTGGAAGTGGGGCATGGTATTTCTGTCCAGGATGCTGAAGCCTTCTAGAAAAGCTTCCAAGGTACTCCAGTTCTGCCTGAGACAGTGGCTAGTCAGAGTAACAGGGTGAGTGGCCAGAAGGCAGTATGAAGGACCAAAAAAAGGCTGAGACATCTGCCTAGGAACACCTGACAGGTTTGCATATGCTGATTATGCTGCTGAGATGGGCAGTAGCACTTGTTCTATAGTTAACATGCTTAACTTGTGCAGTGTCTGTCCTGGTAACTGCTAACTAGTTCAAAATCTTTTGAAGGGAAGGGTGTCCTTTGCCACTTGAGCATGAAGTTACCAAACCAGATCTTCTGGATGGGTCAAGTTTCCTTCACAGTTGTCACTACTGTACTTCTCCAGCCTCTAAAGGTCTTGATTGATGGCAGTGATGGTTTTTTCTGTATGTAGGTTGGGAGATTTCAGCAATATTAGGCTGGCTAGTCAAAAAAAAGAAAAAAGACAAACCAACCTGACTCAAGACAAACAAACCCAACCTGATGCTCTGGAGGTGACTTTCCAATTTCTGCTGTAAGTGAAGTAGGATCTAAGATGAATCTTCTGTTCTGTACCCCCTGAGCTAAATGAGCTTCAGGGGTGCAGAATGCTGTTAAAGAAGATGAGAGCTTTTTGATGGGCATTTTGTGTGTAAGCTCTTGATAGTACTGTCTGTGAGTGATAGGGAGAATTTGCTTGTTTATAAGATGTTAATGATAAAGGGCAATTCTGCTTGTTTGTTTCGGAGGGCTCCTTGGCCTGAAGAGGCTTGGGTGGCTGTGCAGTGCCTTGATGGAAGGGTGCTGCTGCAGCTTTGTGCTTTGAGGTCTGCCAAGGTTCTGATGACTTTGTGGTAGGACAAGATTGTTAATGTCAGGTTCCAGGTGAATAAAGAGAAGTTGCAGATGTTGCTCCAAACTATTGTACAGTCTGCCATAGTTTACAAAATACCTTTGAGCAGCTGAAGCGAAGTATGCATTTAGATAAAAGAATATAAGCCTGTTTTCAGTAACTAAGTTAAACTTGTTGGGACATGTGTAGAAGCAGAGGCTTCAAAAAACATTGTGTGAAAATGTTTACTGAAACACAGGCATCTCTTCTTGGAACTATCTTAACTTTACTGCATTTATCAATAGAATTATTCCCTTTATGTTTCTAGGCTGTGATGCTGAAGGTTTCCTTTCTGACTGTCAAAACCTTCATACCTGGGCTATCCTCCCAAGTTTTCTGGCCTACAAAGAAACCTGCCTATATGGGGCAAAGCCTGTTTTCTAAACTCTTTCAAAGAAGTGAGCTTGTTTAATATCTGGGAATACAAAAGCTTTAGGCCAGAGGTGAGAGATTTTCTTCTCAAGTGGTGACCAGTTTTGTGTTTGCTACTGTGGTCAATTTTTGGCCTGCTTTGCCAATCAGTTTGAATTAGCGTAATGCTGAGGCTGTTTTGCACACCCACCTGGATAATGTTAGAGTCTAGTTCTAGCTGCTTAGGTTCTAGCATTCAAATTTACTTCCTGTTCAAACGAAGTCCAATGATAGTTTAGTATATTCAAACTATTTTTTTTTAAGATTTAGTGCTGTTTGCCTTTGAGGCAGTACCAGATTGGATGCTTGGAAACTTCCTCTGTCATTTCCAAGTAAATGAAATGTTGTCAGCACTGGGTAAAGAGGCAGTTGCTGGAAAAACTCCAGGGTCACCATGTTGCCAGTTTTTCATGTTCATGGTAATAATTCAAATGTCTCATTGTATCCACGAAACAGACTGCATTGGAGCACTGTTCCTGAGGATGGTGTCTAGGATGCAGTGTCTGGCAAGAATGACTTGGCAGGTCCTGTGAGGCAGGGTCTCTGCCATGAATGAATGAAACTGGTGTGTTCCATGGTGCCTCACAGACACATCCTGCAAGAGAACATCTCTTTTGATCTGTTCCACCAGAAGCATGTGCACAATGCATCAAGTTAACTGGAGGTGGCTGCTGCTTTCTGTTTGTTAAAGCAGTTAGAAATGCAAGCGTGACTAGAAGGGCAGTGTGCTTGAATTCTTATGTGATATTCTGAGATAAGTAACTGCTAGGAAGGTGCCTCAATCAGGTTTGTGCATATGGGATTCCAGCAGAATATGGCAAAATGTAAATCTGGAGTGGGAGGCAATTCTGTAAGCACAAAGCTGCTTTCAGATCCTTGTTAGGAAAGGTGGAATCAGGAATGGTAGAGTTCATTTCCACTGTGCAGCAAACTTCAGTGTTGTGGTACTTGAACAAGAGAAGAGATTTCATCTTGGACAGGTCAGTTTGGCTTTCTTTTAGGCCTCTAACCCAGTAACTCCTTAATTCTCTTAAGTCAGGAGAATAGGATATTGGTACTATTACAGTGTATGTCTGAAGGGCTGTGTTACCTTATCATTCATTAGTAACTCAAATCTAAGATGAGTTAAAGTTCTTTCAGCTACTGGTTGATCCTGAAAGGATATTGAGTCTTAAATTGTGAATAAAATAATAGTCTCTTAACTATTTTTGAAAGAGCTGATTCTTACTGCTATTAAATCTTGCTTAATAGTGCATCATGGAAAGAGTATGGAACCAGAAACTACTTCAATGTTTTTTGTTTTCCTTATCCCAGAAGGGTTAGACCTTGCTCATGCTCAGGAGTTTATCCTCTTGCAAACAGTGAATAGGTGCTCTGGGGTTTGTGCTGTATTTAAATTGAAACAGGTATAATGTGTTGGCATTTGAGGAGTGTAGTCATCTGCTGTTGCAATGCAATCTTGGTGTTCCATATGAGATCAGTGGTCTTACTTGTACGTGTTGGCAAACAAAACTGACAGAAACATTGATTTCTGCCCCCTTACAATAGTGTAAGAAGGTGGTGATTTAAAAAAGGACCCTTGATTTTTAACAGAAATTATATTTAAGAAGCTTTTAAAAGGGATTCTGAAGCTGAAAATAACTTTTCTTTTGTGATTTCTTAAAACACAGTGCTGAAGATCTGAATTGTAGACTATACATAAAGCCAATGAAAACAGGCAGGGAATTACTGTTGACCTCTTTGCACACATGCATTCCCAAGAACATCCCTCTTGCTGCTGGAAATGAAAGCCCAGCTCAAGGCTTCACTTATGAAAAAATGTCTGGTGCCCTAAGCTCTGCCTTACTAATGTGTTCTCACCTGTCAATTTGCAGGTAAGCATTATGAGGAAGAAGAGGAGGATGCCCTGCCTGACTCAGATGATGAGATGGAATTGGATAAGCCTCGCCCCATACAGATTGTTCTTGCTCATGAAGATGACCATAACTTTGAATTAGATGAAGCAGCATTGGAAAAAATCTTGCTTCAGGAACACATCAAAGATCTGAACATAGTAGTTGTGTCTGTAGCAGGAGCTTTCCGCAAAGGAAAATCTTTTCTGCTGGACTTCATGCTTAGATACATGTATAACAGGGTGAGTAATTGGGATTTGTCCTACAGGAGAAAAGTAGATTGGTATTTTAGTCATTTACCTTTGTGTTTGTTAATATGAGCCCAAATATAGCAGATCAAATTTTTCTTACTTATT